ACCCTGCTGGCTCATGGTCAGCTTGTCGTCCCCCAGGACTCCCAGGTCCCTCTGGGCAGAGCTGCTTCCCAGCAGGTCAGCCCCAGCCTGTAGTGGTGCCTGGGGTCCAACCTGCCCAGGTGCAGCACCCGACACTTGCCCTTGTTGAACTTCATCAGGCTCCTCTCCGCCCAACTCTCCAGCCCTCTTCCAGCAGGCCTTCAGCACATTCTGCTTGGCGGGCGAAGGTAACGACAGCCTGGCAAAGCAGCACGGTGTCCTCTGGAGCTTTCCAGTTGCTGGGCACCATGATCTCCCCCCAGATCTCAGTTGCCTTCCCGGAAAGCAGTGGGCAAACACTGCCCCATTCCTGCAGCACTGGGGTGGGGTGGCTGCCATAAATCAACGGTGCCGAGTCTAACGCCAGGCAGTGGATGGAAACGCTGTTGTGCTGCGTGTGCCTTCTCCAGCCCCTTCCTCTCTCCAGGAGAGCAAACGCCCCGGGATTGCTTCGATCCAAGGGAGGACTTGCTCAGGACTCGCTCTCATCCAGACTTGGCTCCTTAGGATCCACCCATCAAATTTGCAAAGACGGGACTTGACGCTCCATCGAGAATGTGCCCAGGAGACCCCTGGGGAGGAGGAGGAGGAGGGAGGCAGGAGCAGCCCAGGTTGCCCACAACACCCCTCTCTGTCGTGACACCGCGTTTTCCAGAGGCGCTCAGAAAAACAAGCGTTGCTGTTTGAACTCCCTGGCTTCCTTCCTGTCCAAACAGCGGCTTTGATTACCAATAACCGCCAGGCTAGCTGCACAAAAGTTGGGGTTTTTTTTTCCCTACTGTTTATTTTTGATAAATCTATCATGGACACGAACGCGAGGCACTTTCGGAGGTGGCGTTGCTTAGTGAATGCCAGGTTCCAGGCTGAACCCGAATCTGCTACCCCACGTGCCTTTGGGGGTTTATTCTTCCTGGCAGCTGTGATGAGCCCGGGTTTCTTGCGCATTTGCTCGAGGGACGACATGGCTCTGGTGTACGTGTGCTGGCGAGAGGAAACAAAAAAGGATCATTAACGTGAGCTCGGTTTTCAGAGCAGAATTTTCACCTGTAAAAGCTTTTTTCCTGGGAAAAAAAAAAACCAAAACCAGCACCTTCTCAACCTTCTCAAGTGGTGCTGGAAAAAGCTGCCCCAATAAACCCCACCGCACCAGCATGGCTCTACCGGTGGCCGATCCCAGCAGGCTCAAAGGAGGGCACAAGAAGCCCTGGGAAATTCTCCCCCCAAGCACTGAAGAGCTGGTTTTGAGATGTTTTCCTTAAAAATGCTTACTGAGAGAGCTGTGCAGCCCTGTTACTCTCATAAACCCTCGATCTTTTTGGAGTCCTGCTAAGCTCGGGGCCTCGGTGGTATCTTACGGTGAGCCCTCGCCAGGAAGGAACTACAAGCGAGAAGTGCCGAGATTGGTTTTTAGCAGGAGAGCAGCACAGGAGGGGGCCTTTACATCAGCCAGAGACCAAGAACATTGCAAAGAGCTTAGCTGTGCTACAGAACTAAACCAGCATCTTTCGAAAGACTACAGCCCAAAGAGTATCCATTCCAGAAGAGTCCTGCACCCCTCCTGGCAGCGAGGCGCAGAATCCCAGGGGCGCGTGGGACTGGGCCCAGTTGAGGTTACCTTTTGATCGCTCTTCATTTTCGCCTTGTAGAACGAAGCTGAAGCGGGGCTGGCTGGCAGCGTTGTCTCCTGCATCCGCTCAAACCTCTCCTGCTCGTCTTCCTCCTGCCGGCAGAAAGACAGACCCCGCTCCACATGAAAAACACACGTCTGGAGGCACAGAGGTCAACCGATCCCGTTCACCGCATCAAACCCTGATTCAACAAATCCCTCCGAAGCCTCCCAAGTGAGAGGTCACCCCTTCCCACGCCTTAGGTGAGCAGATTTGGGTAGAACTTTGGGCAAAATCCATCTGGAAGTGTAAAGCCCCAAAGGGAGTTCCCTCAGCTGTCTTCTCAGGGCCATGCTCTGCCCATAACTACGCACAGGACAGTCTCCCTTCCACTGCAAGATAACGTCACGGCTTGAGGGAGGTCTGAGCTTCAGCGCGGTCCCCCCCCGAGCCCAGCTGGCTGGTGTCCATGCCCACGCTTCTCCAGGGAACCGTCTGGAAGGCGTGAGCACACCGAAGAGGAACACGGGTTGAACAGAAGTACGATTTTCTTAACATACCAGCTTGTGTATCACATTTTCATGCCAGATTTGAGGATAGCTCTAGTAGATTCTTAGGTCACCTTCTGTGGTGGTTCACGAGGAGCCTGGAGAAGGTGCCAGTGAAATTCTGGTGTGATAAAAGGCAGGTGGCCAAACGGAATCAAGCCAAGAATAAAAGATGGAGAAATGGGATAGAACAGTAAATGAAGAGCCAGTCTGGAAAAGGGAGAATGGTTCTAAGTAGGAAACAAACCTCCAGAGAAAAACGAGGTGGTTCCCTCCCAGACCCAGCATGGGCCTCAGCACAGCCGGTGACACTGACTGGGAAGTCACCCACCCAGGGAAAGGAACCAGCACCCGGCAACATTACCAGGGATGCTGTTTATCTTCCACCTGAAGATTTCTGCCTATAACATCAACAACTGACACAGCTGTGAGGCACTGCTCAAAGCTGTGCTTCGTTCATCTTTGGGGCTGTAATTGGTGTGATGACAAGAAATCCAGGGCTGGGCTGACCTGCTGGGAAGCAGCTCTGCCCAGAGGGACCTGGGGGTCCCGGGGGACGACAAGCTGACCATGAGCCAGCAGGGTGCCCCTGTTGCCAAGAAAGCCAATGGCATCCTGGGGCACATCAAGAGGAGTGTGGCCAGCAGGGCGAGGGAGGTTCTCCTCCCCCTCTACTCTGCCCTGGGGAGACTCCACCTGGAGCACTGGGTCCAGTTCTGGGCTCCC